ATATATAATAATATTTTCGTATCACAAAAAAAAACAAACTATTTCTCAGAATCGCACAAAATAAAAATTACAAAAAATATCCAAACCTTTCGCGATAATACTTATTCTAATTAAATTTATTACCAATTGACTCGAACGTTTACGTTCATTTACATAAATCCTCGTTTAATTAATCTAATTCATACTCCGAAAATCGAGATCTCGATATGTGAACATTGTCAATTTTTTATTTCTATTTCTTTGTTTTTTTTATTTATTTTTTTTTTTCTCTTTTTTTTTTCATTTTATTTTCATTTCAACGTTATATCGATCGTTTAATATTAAATATTAAATAATTGATAGATGAAGTTGATCGATACAATTTCCATTTGTTATGAGTTTTAATTCATTCATACGTTCGTCGAACTGAGATCATTGGATTAACGTCATTTACATATGCATATATGTTTTAATGTATGTATTTATGTATATATGTATGTATGTATGTATGTATTCATGAACGAATATAACTATATACGTGCCTACGTAATTTTTATCTACGTACCAATGCGAGTCACATGTCGATTAAATCGCATAATCAACAACCATGATATTTAATACACATTTCTTATTTTTAAATACAAATAACGATCTTTCTCTCTCACTCTCACACTCACTCACTTTCTCTTTTCTTTTTTTTCATTTTTCTTTTTTCATTTTATATTTTTAAACAATCAAAAGCAGTCATTGATTAGAAAAAGAAAAAGAAAAACCTAAACTTTGTTTCTATCATAGATGAAACCTTTTTTAAGTAAACTTTTACAAAATTATTAGCCAACGATAATGTGCTGGTAGGGTTGAGGTTAGGTTTAAGGGTAGGTTTTTCTTTTGCGCGAGAAAGGCGTGGATAGTTTTTTTTTTATACTTTCTTTTCATTTTCCTGTTTTTTTTTCTTTTTTTTTTTTTTTATTCGCTCGAATTATTTTTTCCTACTTTTTCACTGAATTAGCGTGAATATTTTGTTTCGTTTTTTTTTTTTTTTTTTCTATTTCTTGACTCTTCGTAACTTGATTAATAATTAATAAATATAAATTATTAAATATATTGTAAATATTGTATCAATCGTGAAATATAATATAACAAATAGGATTTATAAAAAAAAAAAAAAAAAATGTCTGTCGATAAATTTGTCACGAGTTTTCTTTTCCTTTTCTTCTTTTTTCTTTTCATTTTTAGTTTTGTCTTATTTGTCAACCACTTAAAAAATCGAGCATGCGTGCATGAACAATTATTGTCGTAAAAAATATATCTTTTGTACTAATTTTTGATGACATAAACGATGCACGCTCTTTTCGATATTTCCCAGTTTTTTTACTTTTTTTTTTTTTTTTCAATTACAATACTTCATTAATATTAATCTTTTTCTTTTGCACGGTTATCATTTGCACAAGCATTTCTGTACAAAATAAAATGGAAATATCAAATGTCAAGGAATTAGAAGTTGGAATAATAAATGATGAATCAATTCGAGATTGGAATAAGTCCAAATTTTTTATAAAATAAAAGAAGAAGAAAAAAAGCAAACAAAATAGCAATGTGGTAGCCCATTTTTTTTTTTTTTGGTTTTTTGTTTTTGTTCGTCTTTTAATTTTTACACATATATTGTCAACACACCGATTGTGATTCGATAATTTAATATTAAATAATAATATATAATTTAATATAAATAAAATTAAATAATTTAATTTAATTTTAATTTTAATTTTAATTTTCATTTATATTATTTATAATTTAATATAATTTAATATTAATTTATTATTAAATTATCGAATTCAATAGTTTTCAAATCTTATCTATACCACCTCTGCCTCCCCCCTCATCCTTCTATTTTTCTTTTTCTTTCTTTCTCTTTTTCAAACATAGAAGGTGATTAATTAAAACGTTCCCATTTGATAAGAATAAATCATAGCACGTGTGAAAGATATGGTGTTATATTTTTAAAACTTTTAAACATTTAAATCAATTAACACATTCCGTGCTAAGCCCCTTTTTACCAGACTTTTCATTCAGGTCATTTAATTTTACTGTAACAAAATCAACGCGATTACATTTAATTATGAATTATTATAAAATTAATTTAATTATAAAATAATTATATATTTTTTTTATATTTTTAATTATATATTTAATTATATAATTAATTATTATTATTATTATGATTATTATTATTATTATAATATTTCAACGCATTAAATAAATATGTTTAATGTTAAGTGTACCACGTGTTGTACACGTGGCCTGAAGAACAAGTTTAACGTGTACCACCGGTGATAAACGTGGCACGGAACGTGTAAAAAAAGATTTCTTTCATTGGTTTGTTTTATCAGCATTTTTCAATATCAGCAGCAATCAGTAGCAGCAGCAGCAGCAACAACAACAACAACAACAGCAACAACAACAAAAATTACATTTTACGATGATCATAGATTTTCGTCGAATTTTTCATGAAAAATTTTCTTCATCAATTCACTCTCACTTTTCTTTTTTTTTCTTATTATTTATTTTTTTCTTCTCTCATTTTCTTTCTTCGAGAGAGTATTATAATTATTATAATTATAATTATAATTATTATTATTATTATTATTATTAATAAATGAGAATATTATTTAGGAGTATCTTGGAATGAACCAATTTAGCAAATTTTTATTATAAGGAACTTGACGTACAAGACGATATGAAACACGTGGATTGGCCAACAAATTTTCTTCGGGGAAAAAAATTCATTTTACTTTTAAACATCGAAAGGACACTCTTTCAATTAATTTAGTTTTCTTTTCCTCTTGAAAACGTAAGAAAACATATTTTCTTCTTAGATTTTTCAATCCTATCGATGTATTGTCTTCGTCACAACCATATCTGTGTTATTAAAAAAACAAATATACAATTAGTATAATAAAATTTATACAATGTTTCTAGAATTGTATATTAAAATAATATTTTATAATAATTATTTTTTTTTTGTTCATTTGATTGTACGTTATTTAAACAAATGGTGATGGGTTGAATGATTTCGAGTTACGAATAAACAAAAATTATATTTCTATTTAATTTATATAATATTTAATTTATTAAAATATTAATTTAATTTAATATAATATTAATTTAATATTATTTTAATATTAATAATATATATATTTTCATAAATTAAATTAGGTTTGATTATTACCAACAAAATTCGTTCTAATTTTTTAAGTTATTAACTTATCAACCCAACTATACTTATTTAACCAATAATATGAACAAAATCTAATATTTAAAAATATTATTTTGTTTAATATTAAATACAAAATATCAAAATTGTCTTTGATTTGTATTATTTAATTGGCAAAACAAAGAATAAATAAATTTATAACATTTCTTATAAAATTGACGATTTTTATATGAGAATTATTGTTAATAATAATTAAAAAAATAATGAAAAAATAATTACCTCCTCGCTGTTGACGACTAGTCAGACTTTTTCACAACTGGAATGCGGTAATTCTCTTTGTTCCACTTCTTGTTGTTGATTACTAACCATTTCCCTTTCCCTTTCTTGTTCCTTTTTCTTCTCCCTTTCTTTTTCCCTTTCTTTTTCCCTTTCTCTTTCCTTTTCGGCCTTTCTTTCGCGAAGAATTTCCATCCTTCTTGCACGATGTAAACTACCGGACGGGAAGGTTGAATCTTCAACAGCCGCTGCAGCGGCCGCTGATGCACCTCGTTCAACTGCACTCTGCTCGATTATTTAATTAGAATTTATTTTTCCCTAAAGGGAACTCTCTCTAAACATTTTACACATATACGTATATACATATAAACATTATTTTTTACATAATACATTAATATTACTTTTTTATATTTATTTGTAATAATCAAAAATATATATTATATATGTAATATATTTTAATTAATATTATTATAATAATAATTAATAATAATTAAATATATTTAATATGTAATTAATAAGTATATCATAATATATATATATAATATAATATTTAATATTATGTTATTATAATATTGTACTATATTGTACAATATAGTAAAATATTAGTATTGTAATAATAAAAATTTATTGTAAACAAAAATTAAGTATAACACTATTATTGTTAAAAAATAAAATGTAAATTTTAATATATATCATATAATAATATAATATTATATATAATAATTAATAATAATTATATATATATATATATATATT